TCAGATGTCCATGGTTGGGGCCAACCAGTGGAGAGGAGGGTACAAGAGATATTCACTTAATAATCCCAAAAGCCAAGACTCATTTGAGTCTACATTGGACGCTGACAGTTACCTTGGTAAGATTAGGACAAAATACTCTCTTATAGAACTGTTTTTGTGCACAACTTCTGACAGAAAATTTATTTACCCACCCAGAGGTCTATTACGTTTGCCTGTTATATAGCCACTTCGATCTGAAAAACTCACACGAAGAGAAAAGGCAAATACAAGAAATTAATTGATACAATTATTTGGTCTTAGGCGCTCAAACCTTGGCAGGAAACATAGCACTGAATTTTGATAGATATGCATGAACAGGAATAAAGAATAGGGCCTGAAGCTGGTGGTGGAGTGGAGATAGATGACGTAGGTCAGTCTGTAGACTGCTGGTTAGCGAGATGGTATGCTGAGCTTATGTGGAGATCCAGTGGACTGCGTTAGCTAATACTAGAGCTTCACTCAGGGACCTGGATGATGGAAGTGTAGTTTGGATAACACAGGTTGAGAGAACCTGTCCATGATAAGCAAGCATGAGGAGACAGTGGAGAGGAAAAACTCCTCGTTGGGAAGAAACCTCTGGCAGAACCAGGCTCAACATGGCGGTCTTCTGCCGGACCGGTTAAAATGAGAGGCAAAATACAGAATGTGTCCTGGAGTAGTTAACTCTGATGAAGTTTTAGCTACGATGGTGGAGGAGGGGCTGGACGTGGGTTGAAACGGTGTCATCTGAATTAAGTCACACAGCGCAACCAGGCGGCAGACAAATTGCGGATTGGAGGCCTTTTAAGTTGAGCTTTGGATGCCTATTGTCTTTCGTGGAGGTGTGGTTCAAATCTGATTGGCTGATTTATCATAGGTGGATGTAGGAGAGCAGTTTCTTCAGTTGAATTTCTGCCTTGGCTTCATTTCAGTCTGTTCCACAATTTGACAAATTTTAAAAATGAACGTGTGAAAAGGCTATTTTTACTGATGTATCCAATAAATTGACCTATTCAAATTACAGGATATTCCATGGCTATTGCTAAAACTGATAAAAACCAGCTGACAGTTATTGGTGCTCCAAGATATCAACACAAAGGAGTTGTTCTGATTCTTCTCAATCAAGGAATAATTCAGAAAATCAACCCCTATCAATCACAGGTAGGTACATTGGTTACCAGATGTTTACAGGTACTGGACAAAAAAGACTCACCTAATTCTTTTTTTTCTGTCTAACATCAAATCAGGTTAAATCATTTCTATTTTAAGTGAGTGAAAAATAAATGATGTTTGTTAAATGCCACATTTTGGAGAGATTTTTTTTTTTTTTTTTTTTTTGGTGTGACAAGTTTAGATTTCTTACTGAATCCCCAACATCTTTCTAGTTCTGCCAACAATTTTTTCATGGGGCTGTGAGGGTTTTATTTCTAGTTCAAGGTTGTGTTTGAGATAGTGACCCCAACAACAAAACCCAGTTTGTCACTAATTGGGTTCAATTGCAACACCAGATAATTGTGTGTATGTGAGCAACGGAGGGTTTGGACTTGAAAAACAGAAATTTGCAGTACATATTGATCCCAGGCCATAATTACTAAATGTTGTAAAATGCATCTTTAAATAACACAGTGAATCATAGGACAAGCTTTACTGGCACCAGTTGATGTGTTATACACTGCTCAAAATGAGATTCAGGTCAGGGGAACGGGTGGGCCAGTCCATAGCTTCAAAGGCTTCATCTTGCAGGAACTGCTGATACACTCCAGCCACATAAGGTCTACCATTGTCCTGTATAAGGAGGAACATAACGCCAACCGAATCAGCATTTGTCTCACATGGGGTCTGAGGACCTCATCTCGGTACCTAATGGCAGTGATACCAAGCATCACAAGGGCATTGCAGCAAAGAAATACCATTCCTATCCATTACTGACCCAATGCCAAACTTGTCATACTGAAGGATTATGCAGGCAGCAGATCACTTGCTACTGTGTCTCTAGACTATCATGTCTGTCACATGTGCACAGTTGGAACCTGCTTTCATCTGTGAAGAGCCCAGGGTGCCAGTGGCAAATTTGCTAATCCTGGTGTTCTCTCGCAAATGCCAATAATCCTGCTAGGTGTTGGATTGTGAGCACAACCCCTCTTCTGTGTACATTGGGCCATTATACCATTCTCATGAGGTTGGTATCTAACCGTTTGTGCAGACATATGCACACTTGTGGTCTGCTTGAGGTCATTTTGAAGAGCTCTGGCAGTGTTCCGCCTGTTCCTCCTTGTACAAAAGCAGAGGTAGAGGTCCTGCTCCTGGGTTGTTGCCCTCCTTAACCCTTCTCAACGTCTCCTGGTGTACTAGCCTGTCTCCTGGTAGAGCCTCCAGCGTCTTGACACTACGCTGACAGACACAGCAAACCTTCTTGCCACAGCTTTAATTGATGTTCCATCCTGGATGAGCTGCACTACCTGAGCCACTTGTGTGGGTTTAATTTAATTTATTGATTTATTTGACAGGCACAGTGTACATTAAAAACAATTCCTGCAAATGCACCAGAATTAGCCAAAAGGCTATTTTTCATCTGTTGTCTACCAAGAAAAAAACAAAAAAAAACAAAAACACAACAGTAAGCATTCTAGAATAAAAAATAGAAATATAAAAAGAAATAAAAACAGCTATAACTCCTCAAAACTGAACTGGTTGTAACGCATTCTCATGCTACTACATTCAAAAGTGACCAAAATACCAGGCAGAAAGCATAGGTAGTTAGAAGCTCTCTGTGGTCCCCACCTGCAGAACCACTCCTTTATTGAGTGTGTCTTGCTAATTGCGAATATTTTCCACCTGCCATCAGTTCCATTTGCACAACAGCATTTGAAATTGATTGTCAATCTTCCTTCCTAAGTGGACAGTTTGATTTCACAGAAGTTTGATTTAACTGAAGTTATATTGTGTTGTTCTGGACTAGGTGTAAAAATGAGAAACAAAGTGGTCTAAATTACCTTTTAATATGTTTATCTACTTTAAATGCTTTTTTTTAGGCTCAGATAAAAAATCCCTCTGCTCCTTGTTCTTCAATATGACCCTGATTGTTAAATTAAACCTCCATCTCATTTTGTGCATGTTAAGTATAAGTAAATAGCTGTAACTAATAATTTGCCAATTTTTGGTCAGGTCAGATTTCTGGTTTTACTGCTAACTTCAGCATGGATTCTGCATTAGTTATCTGTCATTTCCTGTGTACACATACTCACCAGGTCCCCTGTCTTGTTGTGCAGCTGTTTTGAAACTGACTGGATACCCTGTTAACTCTGTTCAGGTAATAAACAAGGAAGGCTGTTTATTACTAGGAAGGCCAGGGCTACAAGTCTGCCTCGGCGCATAGTTGTGCAATGATGGTGCCACTTTAGCCTAAATCTTTTGTAAGCCTCCTTTTTTTGGACTCATTCTCATCTGATGGTGATCAGATAAATAAAATTTGCCACTTTTTATTGCTTGTTGTTAGTGCTTCTTTAACAGCCAGAGTTAAGGGTAAATGGACTGTACTTATATAGCGCTTTTTCAAGTCAGAAGGCTTGACCAAAGCACTTTACATTACATTCAGTCATTCACCCATTCATGCACACACTCATTTAACATGCAGCTTGAAAACTGTCCAAGCAATCACATAAAGAAATCACAGTTTCATGGGTATGGCTCTTTATAGGAAACACAAAACATGTGCAGATACATGACCAGTGTGATTACCATGTTAGCTCTCAGAGTAAGGATTATTTTAAAAAAAATTTCTCCGCACGTCAAGTTTTCAGGCTGTATTTATGCCGTCCTGGATGCTGCCTCTTTTTTTTTTAGATCATGTCAAACAGTAGAAATGGTTGTGATGTCCTGAAGAATTAACATAGTTAAAAATTGACATTCAACTTAGAGATTTATTTTATACCAAGAACGTTTAGTAGAGGTTGAACTAAAACTCTGGTCTTTTTTTTATACTGTATGTAAATATCTGGTGTCAGCTATATTTAAGATAATATTATAACACTGTCTATTGCTGGACAGCCAGAGTGATAGGATGTGTCCACAGCATATTAGTCTGGTAAAGAGCTGGTAGAGCTTGATTTCAAATAAGGTTAGATAGCTATGAATGGGACGCAACCAAGTATCCAAGCAATGTGTTCTTTTTTTTTTTATTTTGTAGTCCATGAAACATGTCAAGCCTTTGAAGAAACCTGTTTTGCCCTAAAATATCTGAGGATATGAAGTGCACTCTCTATTACATTCTTGATTTTTATGGCAACATTGCTCCTTTGTGGTCTCCACCTTGTTGTTATGGTAAATGGTCTGTACTTATATAGGGCTTTTTCAGGTCAGGATATTTGACCAAGGCACTTAACACTATGTTTGTGGCTACAAACTACATTGTAGCCACAGCATTCGTGGGGCTCACTGACAGAAGCGAGGCTGCCTTACACTGGTGCCACCGGGCCCTCTGGCCAGCATCAGTAGGCAATACAGGTAAAGGACACGATGACACTGAAAGCCGGAGCCAGGGCTTGAACCAGCAACCCTCCAAAAGCAGGGCAAACTCCTGCACCCAATGCCAAAGTGCTGCTGCATTATGGGTCATTCTGGTGATGAGAGTTACATAGTAAAGTCTTGCCTCCTGCGCTGACATTGGTCCAGCTAAAGTGTCTATACAGCTAATGCTGGTATCAAAAGAAGTTCATGATTCTTTCTGATGATCATTAACCACTGTGCTTTCAGACAGGGGAATATTTCGGGGCAGAGGTTTGTGCCATGGACGTGGATTCTGATGGTGTGACTGATCTGATACTGATATCTGCTCCAATGTTCAAAGAAAATGATGGAGAAGGCCGAGTTTATGTCTGTGGATTAACTCGTTTGGTAATTGTCTCATGTTTTATCTTTTTTTTTTTTACTTTAACCAAGTTAGTCGATGTAACATTATCTTCTGTTAAGATCAAGTTAAAACATAGGTATGTTTTTCCCCCATCCTTACTTTGCTCCAGACTGTGTCTTGCAATTTTATCGATAATCCATCACTCATAATAAAACTAAAAGGCATACCTGACAGAGGCAGATTTGGGTCGTCTCTTGCTGTCCTTCCCGACATAAATGCAGATGGATTCAATGATTTGGCCGTTGGGGCTCCTTTGGAAAATAATGGCCAAGGCAGCATCTACATATTTCAAGGAGAGGGAGGGAAAAAAATAAATGCTAAATACTCACAGGTGAGCAAAACAAAAGCATGAAACATTCTCAATGTTTTTCATGTGATGAACCATTTCATGTTTGTAACTTGATGAAGCAACATGTTTCCCATTAAACAGAGGATTGCTGCCTCTGAAATCCAAGGAGGACTGAAGTTGTTTGGTATCTCAATCAGTCAGTCTTCTTATGATCAGAGCGGTGACGGACTTCCTGACTTAGCCGTGGGTTCAAAGGGAAAAGTTATCTTACTGAGGTTAGTCCTGTGAAGATAAACAAATCATAACACAAAAATATTACTTATAAAAAAATCTTCATTTGCATATTAAATATGTTGGTAGAATGAAATATTACTGAGACAATCTGTGTGGTGTCCATTTCATGAAGCAGGTGTAACAAATTCAGATTCAAATCTGCAATTCTAAGTTGATCTAGCCAAAAGCCAAAGCAATAAGTAGAAGTACTGTATGTTGTCTACCACAGTTACAGCATTTAATTTTAACT